ATCTAACCATTTATGTAAGTTCAACTGTGTTCAGAAGACGTATTAACCTCTCGTAACGTATCTTAAAATGTGAGAAAGTCACCCGTTACCACGGTCACCAGGTAAACCGTAACACCGGAAGTGTTTGTAAAACGGTTAAAAGCCAGTTGACGTAGGCTAGCTAGCGTTAGCTGTCAGCCGGGTTCAGTCATTGTGCAGGGATGGAGGTGACACGCCGAAGTAAGTAGCCAGCCAGATTTTGCTTACTGGATTTTTAGCTCGCCATACACACCGTGACAACACACAACAGAGATGTGACCTGAGATTTCTATTTAAAATGCACAAGACTCTTCAATTGTTCAGTGTTTTGTGGCTGCTAGCTGGTTAGCTCGCTAGGTATGCGGCTGCGGGGTTTTTTTTTTTTTTTTTTTTTTTTAAAGCTTTGTGTTCCTCTTCTTGTTCAACACACTCTCTCCTCATGTTAGTGCACTCTCCCCCTTTATCTCTCCCCCACCAGATTATAAAGACAGTTTAAACACGGTGTACAGTGCGATAGAGGAGGCTGACTTTCTTGCCATCGATGGAGAATTTTCAGGTAACCAGATTTTTTTTTTTTTTTTTTAGCAGAAATGTTAAGGTGTAAATTGTTAACTATGTGCATGTAAACTGGGTTTTTCTTTATTTTTTTTTAGGGATAAGCGACGGTCCTAATGTCAGTGCACTCACCAACGGGCTGGACACACCGGAGGAGCGATACACGAAGCTGAAAAAGGTTTGCAGAAGTCAACGAGTTGGTGCACGCCTCCTGTTTTCCCTCCATGCTCCATGTGTGTCTCATTTAAAGTCTCCTTATGTCTGTCCGTCCACCAGCACTCCATGGACTTTCTGCTGTTCCAGTTCGGGTTATGCACATTCAAGTACGACCAGACGAAGTCAAAGTGAGTGTCCGCTTAATAAATTCATAATTTAGGAGTAGTGTCTCTTAGAGGACTCCCAAACACCGTCACCTGCTTGTATGTATGTGCCTTATTCATTGCATCCATAAAAAAACAATAACATTTGAGGTTAAATTAGTTTGTTTTCAGGTACAGATAAAAAGCCAATTTGCATCATTTCCATAATTTCCAGTATCGTGATATCTTGCCTGTCCTCGCGTGACTGGAAAAAGCTCTCCTGTACAGATTTCCTGATTTTTATTTTGAGAAAAAGAACATCCTTCCAGTCTTTCCAAAATCATGAGCCTGTCACCATGTCTGAAGGCTCGGTTCGCCCATTGTGTCCCCCACAAAAACCGTTAAAACAGGATGTGTGCAAATGTGTGTGGATACCAAAATACAGAACAGACCGGCCCCTCGTCTGTCTGTGATGCTTTTCTAAACCAGCTGTACAGGAAAGTGCCTCTTTAAAAATGTGTCTTTTTGTGATTACCATGATACTATTGTGTGTCGCAATCATTTTGGTCAAGATAACACTTTCATATCATCTCTATTTGTCTATTAGGGAGACATTTTTTCAACTTGCCTGTGTGTTCGCACCGTCAGATCACAAGTACTCCCATCTCCCGACTTAAGCAAGGCTGAGTTATCAAAAGGGCGACTGCTCCGGGGCCCCTGAGAGCCTTTGTGCCGACTAGTTTGTGCTAATTTAATTTAAAATGTATTTTTGGGAAGAGGGACCCCTTTGTCAATATCTAACCTTGAGCCATTGTTTATTCAGATTTGGGTTCTTGTGATGAATATTTACTAAATTATGTGTTTAATCCCATTACTACTTCACAACTAACGGCCTAAATTGTATTCTAGCATTGAAAAACAGCGGTGTCAATTTACAGTTTCCCTACATAGTCTGGAATTTCAGTCCTTTCCAGGATAAGGGATCAGTGTGGAAAAATATTTAGTTATTGTGATAAACTCCCAGCGACTGGAATGATTTCACTGATTCTCATTGTTGTGTTTCCTGTATTCCCATCTCCGCAGGTATATCATAAAGCCTTTTAATTTTTATGTATTCCCAAAACCGTTCAACAGGACGTCCCCCGACATAAAGTTCATCTGTCAAGTAAGTCAGCTTTGCTCCTCAGGGTCATTCAGTCGCTTCCGTATGAACTGCAATAAATTGACTTTTAATAGCGATGATGGTTTTAAAAATGATTCTGAAAAGATGACGCCTCTGTTGGCTTTTTGTTTTGAAGGTTATGAAAATGGAAGCTCGTGTTTTTGTCATTTCAGAGTTCCAGTATTGACTTCTTGGCCAGTCAGGGATTTGACTTCAACAAGGTGTTTTGTAATGGTGAGTCACCTCAGAATGATATGTGACGCTTGTTTTCAAACCTCATCTAAATGCTGATTCTAGTTTAAATCGACACACATCAAACTTTTAATGTATGAACATTTGGAAGTGAATTTGTGGTAATTTGATCAGTTATCTCTTAAAACTTAATTCTATACTGCAGTAATCAAAAGTTCTTAAATGTGTTTTTGCTAAGACAAACAGTAAAACATTTACCAATTGTGTTAAAATAACAAGGTTTTTTTTGTGGGGTTAAAGTATAATTTTGATTTCAGTACAGAAACATTCATACTGACATTACCCAGCCTCAGTGTTGGGTTAGGAAAGCTGTCATAGTGGACCAGCTGGCTCCGGGCCACTTGCTCTTCATTCATACCTATAGTGATAGTGGTCCTTTTGTTATGCCCACTTGGCTGCACCTTCAAGAGCTGTAGTTGTTGAGGTTCACTTGTATTTTCTTCCTCTTCGCGATGCTGGTAATGTTTATTGGGGAAAAGCAAGTAAACGTTCTTTTAACTACTGCTCAACACATTTCTCTCATCTTTCCGAGCAGTAGTTTTTTGCAGTTGTCTAGGACAGCGAATGCGCAGAGCCACTTTAGAACTACAGAGGTAAAATTGAGACTCTGGTTTTTCAAAGGAATCCCGTACCTAAATCAAGAAGAGGAAGCCCAGCTGAGGGAGCAGACGGAGGAGAGGAGAAACCAACATGCGAACGGTGTAGGGACCCCGTCTTACATCTCACCATCCTCCTCCAAAGGCCCTGCACACGTACCTGAGGAACATAAAGACTTCATCAACAGGGTTATGTAAGTTTTGTGTGTGTAAAACACACTGAAGGCATTAATGTGACTCGTCCTGACAGCGTTGTTTTAGGAGGACGGTCTCAGGACACACATTGTGCACGGTGGTAGCAACTTGGTTATTTCATATTTGAGCCCGGTGAGAGAGAAGTGATTATCTTTCCTTGGGGGTATAATTGCCCCAGAACTCACTCTGAGAAGGGCACAGTCCCTCCCATGTGTCTCAGAGCCCAACTAAGGGCAATAACTCAACTCTTTCATGATTATGTTCGCGTGTGTGTGTGTGTGTGTG